GTAGTCCTGGTTGCCCTGGAGCTCACATTCACGTACCAATAAGAAATACAGCAGTGGTGGCGCCTGCCCTCAACCGCAGCGCTTGGGAGGCAGAGGCAGGTGGAATTTTGCATTCAGGGCCAACCTGGTCTACATATTGAGTTCCAGGATAGCCAGGTGAAGCACAATTAATAAAAACTCAGAGAGAGAAACTGGGGTTCAGCCTGAAGGTCAGAAAAGCAAAACAGCCAGTCACTAGCTCTTACCTCTACCTCAGTCTGAGATGGCGATCCTGCCTCCAGGAGTCTCAGATTGAGACTGAGACTGAGAACTGTCTCCTCCTGTCTTATATTCCTCTCTAGGGCTGGGATTAAAGGCATGCACTGCCTGGTTTCTATGGCAACTAGCGCGGCTACTGGGATTAAAGGTGTGTTACCACTGCCTGGTCTGTAAGGCTGGCCAGTGGAGCTATTTTACTTTTCTGATCCCCAGGCAAACTTTATTTATTAAAATACTAATGAAATGCCCCTGCAGTCAGGGCTCTACAGAGAAACCCCGTTGAAGAAACAAAACAAAAAAGCAAAGTGCCTCCGTTAAATCTGCATCAAAATCTCCTGTTAAAAGCCAAGATGGCTTGGTGGTAAAGGTCCTTTCCCCCAAGCCTGACAATCCGAGTTCCATCCTGGGACCCATGTCGTAGAACTGACATCTGCGAGCTGTCCTCTGACCTCCACAGCCAGGCCATGGCTCATGCACTGTGGCAGGTGCCCCAACATACATAAATACATGTACGTTAAAAAAAAGTTTATTTCATTTTTATTATGAGCATGTGTGCCCATAATGGGTATGTACACAAGTGGGCAGATGCCCACCGAGGCCACAAGAGGGCAGGAGATCTCCTGAAGCTGAGGATGCTATGGGTCTCTGGGCTGGCAGGATCCACATTCACATCTCAACTTCAATGCTAACAAGCCCTGACTGAGACCCACATGACTTGGGGGATGTGGCCGTTCTTCAGGCCCATGTCCAAACTCTGGTAGAAAGACCAGTTGGGTCAGATGAGAGGCTGGGGATGCCTAGGAATCCAAGTCCCCTTCCCTCAGCTCAGCTCAGCAATCGAGCTTTAAGTTCCATAAAATGCTGAAATAAAATATAAATGGGTAACTGTCCCAAGCGTAACCCCAGTCACCACTGCCATAATCAGCATCCCCAAGCCTGAAGGAACTCTATCACAAGAGTATCCGCTCCAGTAGGGTTACGCAGGGGCATTGCCTGTGTGGCAGGCAGCATCAGTTGGGGGCGGGAGACTGTGTGGCAGCCCTATGGGCAGCAGTTAAGGGGAACGTGACAGATGTTTGAGACACCAGTGCATACACAGTAGACGGGTGAGGGGAGCATTGGGTGTGGCTAAGGACAGTGGCAGTTGGACACAGATGGGTGTTTGACAGTCATTACCCTTCAGCTTGGGGAGATATCCCCCATGGTTTGGGGACCAGAGAAGGAAGACTGGACAGGGGAATGGCCACCTGCTCCCAGGGGGTCGTTTGTGCACCTGGATCGACTTCATAGCCCATACCTCAGATTGTTTTTCAGATGTATTTACTTGGGGTTCACGTGCTGTGAACCACGTGTTTTCACTTCCAGCAGAGGCCAGAAGAGGGCATCAGATCCCCTGGGACTGGAGTTATAGCCAGGCAGCATGTGGGCACTGGAAATTGAACCAGCATCCTCATAGAGGAGCAGCTGGCGCTTTTAACTACTGAGCTGCGTCTGCAGACCCAGGTCCTACATCTCTGAGCTGCAGTCCTCCAGCCCTGCTCAAGTCTCTGAGTCCAGAGTAAACCCCACCCAGTGGGTCTCCTCTGAGAACATTCCTGACTTAGGTCTGCCTCTGCTTTAGGTGACTTCTCTGAAGCACTGCCAGATCATTGAAGGTCAGGAGGAGTCCCTGCTCTGGTGTCTCCTCCCTATACTTAGGGCCATGCAACCTCACTTTCTCAGGAAGAAACCTTTTTGTGGAGAGCTTTACCCACTAAACCCTCTCCCCAACCCCTTGTTTATTTATTTATTTATTTTTGATAGAGGGTCTCACTACACAGCTCAAGCTAGACTCAGTCTGCCAGTAATTCCTTTGACTGAGTCTCTTGAGTGCCAGGATTCAAAGTGCATGCCACAGTGCCAGCTTCTCTCTCTCTCTCCGTCATTCTCAGACCCTCAACCTCGCCAACCTCCCTGCCCCCTACTTTCTTTCTGCACACACACACACACACACACACACACACACTCATACACACATGCACACTTCACACACACAACACATTCATCAGCAATAAGCCAAGCACTCATGGGTCTGTGTCCCTGGCCATGAACCCGGCTCCACTACACACATGTAACATGGCATACACGAACAAGCTTGATGTTTGTACGTATGAACCCATTTCTAGGCCTTTGCACCCCACCTGTGGCTCCTCCGTTTGACTTAGTCTGAACTTGGATGTGTTAACCAATGGGAGACCAAAAGTGTTTGCTCTGAACTCTTTAGACATTGCAAAGGAAAGAATGGTCAGCCACGACTAACCCTGGTCTGGCGACCTCACTACCTATGGGGTAGACAGCGTCAAAGGATAAGTGATTAACATACATGGAAGTCCAACACTGACCAAAGACACAGCTGGGGTTGCCAGGTGCCCACATCAGGGGAGGGCAGCTGCGTTTGGCAGAGTGGGACGCTCCCGGCCAACTTCCAGGCTGGGAGTATGGCTCTCACACTGCTTCCTCAGCCCTAATCGCCATCAGGTCACCGTAGCTCAGGCAGGCATTAGATACAGCAGCTGCAGAGGGAGCGAGGGGGGGGGAGGGGGGAAGCAGGGGCAGAAATACAAGAGTATTCAGGGAGGTCTGATGGTCCAAGCTCTGAAGGCTCTGATGAGGAATGAAAACACAGGACTAGAAGCAGTGGCAAGCATTGAGAAACGCATGTGAAAGGAGCCTGCGGCAAGACAGCGGCTGCAGAGAAAGGGCAGCACAGCTAAATTAAAGCCATTGTTCCACACGCTTTGACAAAGCATGGCAGTTCCATGGTCTGAGGACTCAGTCCAGGCAGTATAGGGAGGCCCTGACTACCAAGATGATGCACATGTAGACCGCTCCCGTGACTGAAACTGTAGGGATCACCTCCGTTTTGGACTCAGAGAAACAAGAGGGAGATGGGCCACATGGAGGAACCACGCTCCAAATGAGAGGTAGAGGGATGCGAACACAACAGTCAGAAATCTTTGTAACTAGCTAGAGAGGGCAAAGCTGGGGCTGGGGACGTGACCCAGTGAGGACTGGGAATGCGACTCTGTGGTAGACGGCTTAGCTCAAATTCAACAGGATCTAGAGACTCGGAGTGCGGCTCAGTGGTAAAGCCCTGCCTAGAATCCCCCAGTGAGGGCTGGGGCGTGGCTCAGTGGTAGAGCATTTGTACAGCATGTGGAAATCCAGGGGCTCCATATTCAGCACTTGGGTGGAAAAGTGAACAAAAATAAGTAACTGAGTTAGTTCAGGCAGAAGGTGAGCATCCTACCCCTGAAGTTTATCCTTCGGGTCCCACTGGGGTCACTTCTTCTAGGAAGAAGTCACTCTGGTTGCTGTATAAGTCCCCATCTTTAGGCATACTTCCTATGGTACCAAAAAACAGTTTTAAGCATCTAGGTACATGCTTGCTTTCTCAGACCACCAGGGGGCGCCCTACTCCCAGCCCTCAGGGCGGCTGGACCAAAAGTATCAGTTTCTCTACGGTTCAATACTCTCTAGTGTGACAGAACAGAAACTGGAGAAAGCTACATGAAGATTAATATGAATGCAGTCATTTTCAGAGAAAGACCGGGAAACCTTTCCCCTGGCATCATCTACACACAGTGCATGAGCAGCGATCATACACTATAAAAAGTCTGCACACCAAGAGGTGGGAGGCTGCGGGACTCTTTCCTCAGCTCACTAGCTCACTTCCGTTCCTAAGGAGCCATTTCTGAACCCTCACCTAACTTAGAAGGCTCACCCTTTTCTTCATCTCTCCTGGTAGCTGCTCGGATTCTCACCTAACTTGCACTGCCTACCTTTAATCTCTAAATTGTCCTTTTTTAAAAGATTTATTTATTGTGTATACAGTGTTCTGCCTGCATGTATGCCTGTAGACCAGCAGAGGGCACCAGATCTAATTTCAGATGGTTGAGACACACCATGTAGCTGCTGATAACTGAACTCAGGACCCCGAGTCCATTTTATTCTGTTGGTGTTTCAAGACAGGGTTTCTCTGTGTAGCTTTGGAACCTGTCCTGGAACTTGCTCTGTAGACCAGACTGGCCTCGAACTCACAGGGATCCACCTGCCACTGCCTCCCAAGGGCTGGGATTAAAGGCGTGAGCCACCACCATTACCTGGCCCATTACTATTTAAATTGAGATGAAGAACCCTAAAAGGGAAACCTCGGTTTCCCTGGCAACAGTAGTGCTCAGTTCTGCCAAAGCTTTCACAAACATTGCTCCAGAGGTTTTTACAGGAGGCTTGGAGATTCAAGGCCAGCCTGGGTTACCACAAAGGGAGACCTTGACTCGAAATAAACAATTAACAAAACCAAAGCAAAGCCACACCCAGCACTGACAACAAAGGATCCTGGCCAGGGTCATACACAAGTATGGGTTCAGTGTCTTCATTAACCAGCTTCAAAATCTCGCCAGTACTTCACAGCACCCAGGAAGTACTCTCTCTCCAAAGAAAATCTAATTTACGTCTGCCCTGCCTGAAGCTCACAAGGTCCCTTTCCATAAGATTCTGACACTCCACCCCACACTGAAATCTGCAGCAGATGTGGCGATATTCTAGAATTCGTGGAAAAACAGTTAAAACTACAAATGTCCTTACCACCGCGACTCTAGCCACATGGTACAGGCCGTGTTCTTACCACTGCCACTCTAGCTACATGATACAGGCCGTGTGTGCACATGAATCTGCTGTGACTAAGGTAACAACCAACTTGGTCCAAGTTTTTAGAAGAAAACTATATTCTTTTAAAGAAAATGCAAACATCCTCTGAGGGGGAGGAACTTAATTTAAGTCAAATCACATGGTTTTGTAGTAGAGTCGGATACAGTGTGCACAGATGCTCCCCGGGGTCGCAGGGAGCCCTGGTGGGCTCGCTCTCTGTGCCTGGGATTCGCTCAGGGTCTTCTGAGGCTGAGGATGCTAGAAAGGCACCACCCCAAGTCGGGATCCAGAGAGGCAGAGACCTGCGGCTGAAAACACCCATCAAGGCCAAACCCGGTGTTTCCCAGGTGTCACTGCCCTGGCTGTGATCACACACAAATAAGGCACCCTTCCCCCATGGCACCAAGGCCCTTCAAGCCCTGCCTCTGGGAGCTAAGGCCAGGCGGAGGAAGGTGGCCTATCCCAAGGCTGCCGGGTGCGGGTATCCTGGAACCCAGCAGGGGAAGTGGCTTGAGGCACGGAAGGTGAATAAATAGAAGTCGCTTGTTTGACGCGGGGGTCCGGCCCCTGCGGAAGGGACAGCAGCTCGGCGGAGGGAAGAAGACAGGAGCGTGGGTCATCCTTCTCTCCGGATGGCTGCTTCTCAGAGCTCAGTCACATGCACAGCCGGCGAGGGGAGTGGGCCCTGTCCCAGGCGCCTCAGGTGGCACCGGCGGCAGAGCAGATGCCCCTCCAGGGGGTAGCAGCGGCGTCCTTCCTCCCCGCTCAGCTGGAGCCCGCAATCCTGCAGAAGAAAAAACACAGCCCTGAGCACCAGTAAGCAGGAGACATCAACCTCACCAAGGAAACATCGGGATTGGGGCAGATACACTGCCTGGCCAATTGCTGTATGTGCTCCCCAGGAGTCCCAGGTGGCCACGGTTGAGGTGATGGTTGGCTGACATGACTTCTCTGTTCATGTGGTCATGATACATGTTGCATGCCAAATATACCCGCTTCTTTTACTGTTTTATTAATAATTAATAACAGATCCTGACACCCAAGGACTTGGAATTAAGTCCAGCCTCAGGAAAAGGACAGGGATGGGTAGTAAATGTAGGCTCAGACTAACAGGCTATAAGCCAGTTCTGGAACAACTCACAGAGATCTGCCTGGCTCTGCCTCCCAAGTGCTGGGATAAAGGGCATGTGCCACCACTGCCCAGCTGTTTCTATTTTTTAGTTGCTTGAGACAGGGTCTCTCTATACCCCTAGCTGTCCTGGAACTTGATTTGTAGACCAGGCTGGCCTCAAACTCAGAGACCCACCTGCCTCTCACCAGCACCTCCCGAGTGCTGGGATTAATGGTGTGCACCACCACACCTAGTTTCACAAGCTTCTGTTTCTTAAGAACACGGCAGGGCTGGAGACAAGGCTCAGTGCTAAGAGCTTGCTGCTTGACCATGGAGACCACACTTCAGACCCCTGCACCCACAGAACATGCCAGACTCCCACAGACTCCTCTTAACTCCATTTCCAACTCTGCACTCCACACAGGGATATGGATACCTCCCACACACACACAAATATAACTTTAAACTCAGTAACAACAACAACAGAGTAACAGCCAACATCCAGGAGCAAGAGCCATATCTATAATCACAGGATTCCAGAGGCAGAGGAAGAAAGTTAAGGTCCAGGCCAGCCTGAACTACATAGCAAGACTGTGTCTCAAAGAAACAAGAGAATAAAATTCTGAACACATCTAGCAGACTAAACTCAGTAGGAGACTGGGCTTGAGTACAGCCTGGACTATGAAAATAACCAAAGACTGGAGATCTAGCTCAGCAAGAGTTCTAACCACGTGCGCAGGACCTGTGTGTCCCAATGCAGACACACAGCAAATTCTAGGACAGCCAGAGCTGCTGTGGATAATCTTTTAGTACACTGTGAAGATGTGTCTTTGCCAAGGAGTCTTCTGATTGGTTTAATAAAGAACTGAATGACCAATAGCTAGGCAGGAGAGAATAGGCAGGATTTCTGGGGAGAGAAGATGAATACTGGCCATGCACAGACACCAACCAGAGAGAGGCCTCTGGCGTAGTATGTCGGACATACAGATGGAACATAGGTAATAGCCACATGGCAGAACATAAATTAATAGAAGCAGGTTAATCTAAGTTGTAAGAGCTATTTGGGGGAAAGGCTAAGCTAAGGCAAGCTCTCATAATTAGTAAGAAGTCTCTGTGTCATTATTTGGGGGCTAGCGGTCCAAGAAAGTCCGATGAGAAAGCTTACTACACTTTGCGCTGGTGGAGGGGGTCAGCTGACCCTTTTCCCTGTCACTCTGTGAATCTATCAGGTTTACACCCTAATATCTGACTCCAGAGCTTTATTTATTAATAAAACAATAAAAGTGGTTATATTTGGCATGTAACATGTATCATGACCACATGAACAGAGAAGCCATGTCAGCCAACAGTCACTTCAACCGTGGCCACCTGGGACTCCCTGGGAGCACATACAGCAATTGGCTGTCACTTGCATGGACTCTGGAGAGTGGTCAGCAACTTCCCAGAGCTGCTATAGTAAACGTAGCTCCCACTGCTACCTGCCAGCCTGAGGATGGACTCTCAGTAAACAGAGGAGGGCTTTGGTTCTCCTGGTCAGAGAACACTGCGGATGGTTAGGAAAGCCAGGTTTAGGCCAAAAAAAAAACTCTAAATAGGTACAAAATACTTTAAAATGTGCTTAAATGCTAAAGAAAGAGAAAAAAAATGGACATAGTCATAGAATATAGTTTAAAAAAAGAGAGTAAGTAATGTGTGTGTGTGTATGTGTGTGTGTGTGTGTGTGTAGCCATGTAAGGATGAAAACAGACAGAGCACGTGGAACCTGAATGTTGCTTTGTTGACTTTGAACATTGATAAGCTAAAAATAACACTGCTGCCAGAATATGACACTTAAGATATTTTAATAACATAAGCCTTTTTAAAAAATATTTATTTATTTATTTATTATGTATACAATATTCTGTCTGTGTGTATGCCTGCAGGCCAGAAGAGGGCACCAGACCCCATTACAGATGGTTGTGAGCCACCATGTGGTTGCTGGGAATTGAACTCAGGACCTTTGGAAGAGCAGGCAATGCTCTTAACCTCTGAGCCATCTCTCCAGCCCCCTAACATAAGCCTTTTTATGACAATGAGAGACATCTGCTTCTGGCAGCATTAATCTACTTCATAGAAGACAACAGGCATTGAAGAAACTCCTTAAGAAGTTTTTTTTGATGTGGGAGAATTGTCTGTATTCTGTCAATCATGTATTTTAATAAAACGCTGATTGGCCAGGCAGGTAGTATAGACGGGAAAACCAGACAGGAAGTAGAGGTGATGCAATGAGAACAGGAGAATTCTGGGAAGCAGAGAGGTTCCTCTGCCATTCCTGTGCAGACCACTGAAGAGGCAGCATGTAACCTGCCCTGCTGAGAAAGGTACGGAGCCATGTGCTAACATAGATAAGGATAATGGGGTAATGTAAGTTATAAGAGCTAATAAGTAGCCTGACCTAATGGGCCAATCAGTTTATAATATTATGGAGTCTTGTGTGTAATTTTCTTTGGGACTTGCCGGTTGTGGGGTGCCAGGTGGGACAGATATCCCAACAAGCCGGCCGTCATGTTACATTTTTTTGTGTGTGTGGCAAAGTTAGCCACTGGACAAGAAACTGCCCTTGCCTGACAGTGTGCTGTCAAACAGGACACAAAAGATGAATGCCAGACTTTGCCAAGACAAGGTACGACAGTCCTTCAAAATTCCTGCTCCCCAGAAAAGTCTGTCAGATATGCTGGGCCTTTAGGCCAACGACGGATGCTCCAACATTGCAGAGGAGCCCTGGGTGACTGTCCAGGCAGCCAGCTGTTCCTGAAATTTCTATAGTTTTGAAAATTGTCTGCTCTGCACTTCCTGCTTACTCAGGTAATATTTTATCCTTCTTGGGTCTCTGATGGGAGTTGAAGACTAGTTTCACTGTCTTTGTCACCACATTAAAAAAAAAAACTTGCAAAAGAGATGTAAAGTTTATAAAGGTTGAGAGACCTTACAAAAGCTTAAGTTGCTCATCTAAGAAAACGTTTTAAGGTCTAAAAAGATTTTTAGATTGGTAATATGTTATGATAAAAAGTGGTTTAAGCATAAAACTTTGAACTCATCAGGACAGATAATATTTTCTCTGAATATGCAAAATACAAATGGACTGAACATTGTGAATGTAATTCTTATCTCATAATTGTTCTTGTTTATTTCGAGACCAGGTTTCTCTGTAGCTTTGGTGCCTGTCCTGGAACCAGCTCTTGTAGACCAGGCTAGCCTCAAACTCACAGAGATCTGCCTGCCTCTGCCTCCCGAGTGCTGGGATTAAAGGTGTGCATCACCACTGCCTGGCCTTGCTCTTACTATATATAGTTTTACTGTGTTAGACAGAGTAAAACTTTATTTTAGACAAAAATGGGGAAATGTTGTGGATAATCTTTTTGTACACTGTGAAGATGTATCTTTCCCAAGGTACTTTCTTTTTCATTATTTTTGATTTCATATGCTTTGGTGTTATATATATGCTTGTTTGAAGGTGTTGGATCCCCTGGAACTGGAGGTACAGATAGTTGTGAGCCATCATATGGGTACTGGTTATTGAACCCATGTCCTCTGGAGCAGTGCTCTTAAACACTGAGCCACCTCTCCAACCCACCAAGGTGTCTTCTTATTGGTTTAATAGAGAACTGAATGATCAACAGCTATCAGGAGAGGACAGGCAGGATTGCTGGGGAGTCAGGGAAAGATGAATCTAGGTGCAGGGAGATGCTAATGAGAGGCAGAGCAAGCCAGATACACAGAATGGAAGAGAGGTAAAAGCTACATGGCAGAATGTAGATTAATATAAGCAGATTAATTTGAATTATGGGAGCTAATTGGGAAAAGCCTAAGATAAAGGCCAAGCTTTCATAATTAAGAAGTCTCTGTGTCTCTATTTGCAGGCTGGTGGTCCAAGAAAGTCCAACGAGAAAGCTTACTACACAGGGCTACACAGTAAGACCCTATTTCAAAGAACCACACAAACAAAGAAAGTGGGGGGAGGTGAAGCTTGGTCCCTTGTCCATGGAGGGAGGGGTGGTTGAATTGCCAAAGAGGCTTTGGTTCTTTGGTCAAGGGGACTCCAGATCCTTGACCTCTTTTTTTTAAATACATGTATTATTATTATTATTATTAATGTTGTTGTTGTTGTTTTGGTTTTAAGACAGGGTTTCTCTGTGTAGCCCTGGCTGTCCTAGCCTTCACTCTGAAGACCAGGCTGGCCTGAACTCAGAGATCTGCATGCCTCCCAAATACTGGGATTAAAGGTGTGCCACCACCACCTGGCTGCATGTATTATTTGTATGTGAAGTGGGCGCCATGGTATGCCTGTGGAGGTGAGGACAACTTGCAGAAATCAGCTGTCTCTTCCACCACGCGGGCCCTAAGACTCAGTAGCAGGTATCCTTACACAGTGGGCCATCTCGAAGATCTCTCCAAACCTTCTTTCTTGTTCTTTTACCAGTTATGAGGTGAGCAGCTCTGTCACACCACAGGCCCAAAGCAATGGTGTCAAACAATCATCATGGGATTAAACCTCTACAACCAAACTGAAATAAATCTTTTCTATTTAAGTTGGTGACTTCCGGTATTTACTACAGGAAGTGACAGCATAATCATCCCCCGCTAGAATTCTGTGAAACACATCCTATCTCCTATCACCCTTCAAAGCTTAGGCTGGGTGTCGCCTCCCCCAGGAAATCTTCCATAGTTTTTCAAGGTTCTGACAACTCCCTTCAACAGCAACATACAACTTTATGTGGACACTGCCAATTCTAAATTCCTGTCTATTCTACTAAATCCAACACCCACTTAGTGAAAATGGGACTGTCTGAACGAAAAATGGGCATGGGTGGAAAGAAAGGAAAAGGCTTTCTGGGGGAGTATGGAGCAGAAACTACAGAGAGGGTGTCTAGGGTGGAGGGTGACAGTGTCTGCAGGGGAGGGTCTGCAGCGTGGTGTGTGAGGCCCGGGCTCACCTCACAGTGGTAACACTCCACGTGGTAGTCTCTGTCCATGGACACCACACGAATGGTTGTCTCACAGCCCTAGAGAAAGAGGTAGAGTTACACGTGTGCTCCCTGGAACTGAAGCACTATGACCTGTCCATTAAAGCACCTCTCTCTGCATTGTGACACCTGGAGTAGACATGTCACTTCAGCACGTGCCCGAGAGGGGATGTGTATGTGCCCTGGGCATCTTCCCCAACTGGAGTCACACATATGCATGTGACAGCAAGAAAGTCACATGGGTGTTGGCTCATGCATGCTATTTTTACTTCTCCTGAGCCAGGAACTCCCAGTACCAGCCATGTTTCCTCAGGAAGCCGACTTAAACAGATATTGTTCATGCAGAAAGACCCAGAGAGTTACACAGGCCAAGGCCTCCCTATCTGCTCTTCTAGCCCTAGGCTACCCAACATCCACTGCAGAACTGAACCAGCCGAGTGAGCAGCCCTTCCCGTTACAAGTAATGGAGCAGAGTGCCGCTGGGTCACAAAAATCAGGGCCACCTCTTCCCTGTAATGCATCCAGGGTACACCTGCCCCACCCCTCTGCATGAACATCCTCTATATTCTTCAGCCCTGCGGAATGCAGAGTATGGCCACCTTTGACCACTTCTAATATGGCCCAGGATCTGAGGTAAAGCAGGCAGGATCGGGCACCCTCTGCTTCCAGGTGAAGTGTTCCTACCTGGGCAGGAAGGATAGGGCGGGCACATGAAGCACATTTTGGAGCAAACACCCTGGAAGGATAAAGGAAGTAGGCGTGAGAAGGTAAGAACATAGAGGCAAAGGGACAAGGCTGGAACTACCGCAAGAGCTCCAAGGCAGCCTACCCCATGTGTGGACGTGCGCAGGTGTGCAGTTTCTGCCTTCTTGGTAGTAATGGTTGACACAGTTCCGATCTGTCCCCACCCCCTCCTGCAGGACAGCCTCAGGCTCCCTCCAGCCATCTCCTACACATTCTCTAGTTCCCGATGTCCAGACTAAAGCCATCCCTAGGGGAGACTTCTGCTCCACCCTGAGTACCAAGGACAAATGCTGGCACCAATCTCAAAAATCGGCAGCAACAGAGACCCAAGGCTCTGAGGCCTAAGCCTGGAGCCACCATAACAGACTGGCTGCCCACGTGACACCAGGGCTTTCTCCTTGGGAGGAAAAGGCCCGATGACAGGGAACAGTCAGGTAAGGCCCCAGAAGAGAGACCAGGAATCACAAATGTCCCTGCCCTGCCCTTATGGCGTCACTGGGAACCATCCCCAGGCTCATGAATTGGAACACTTGCTCCCCAGCATATGGAAACATATTCTGGAAACATAATGGTTACTGATACCACCTCCAGGTTCTTTCCTGATGTATCCTACCAAAATATAAGGAGTCCCATCTTTCTGCTCCTGTCACCAAAATCAGAGCTGTCCCTACCCCAAATGCAGAGAAAACATGAGGGCAGAAAGAAGAAAAAAGGCCAGGACCAAAGAGGCAGAGGTATGCAGGAAAGAGAGCTGGGGAGGCCACGCTGCGGCCCACACTGCTTCTTCAGCAAGGAAGACTCACGTGTGGTAGTCTCTAACGCAGTAGATGTTGTTCTCCACGTCCACGGTGAAGGGAACGCCATCCAGACACTCGTTACACACTGAGCAGCGGAAGCAACCAGGGTGGTAGGACTTGCCAAGGGCCTGCAGGATCTGGGGGAGGCACCAAAAGATCAGCATGGGCAGGAGACACAGCACTGCCCCCTAGAGGTCGTGGCTTAGGGACCCGCCAATGGTCTGGAGCAGCAGAGGGTGGGGGACTCCAGGTCACAGGGAGGTTCTCACCATCTCCATGATAAGGTGTCCACACACGCTGCACTTGTCAGCAGTTTGCTGGAACCCGGAGTACTGAGAGGGGACACAGGATCCAGGACGTCACGTGACAAATGGGCACTCACTGTCGCTGGCCTCAGGTCTGCATGTGAGTCCGAAGGAGGGTCCCGCCCCTGCTCCCACCCAGCTCGGCCAGCAACACAGTGCAGACTCACCAGGAAGTCCTCCTGGCAGTACACTTTCTCACCCACGTTATAGAAGGCCTTCCCGCGGAGCCGTCTCCCTGGAGGGGAAGGGAGGAGGGGGTAATGGAAGCTGACACCAGGGACAGAGTCTGGCTTGAGCGGCAGTACTCACCGCCCACCAATGAGAAAATGAACATCGGACATCTCCAAACACCCCTTCATTTGCTTTAAATATTTATTTATGAGTGTTCTGTCTGCATGTACACAGATCTCATCACAGATGGTTGTGAGCCATCATGTGGTTACTGGGAATTGAACTCAGGACTTCTGTAAGTGCAACAGACATGCTCTTAGCTGCTGAGCCCCCTCTAAACATCCCTTTAATGCTAAGCTGCTGTTATAAACATGTCAAGCCAGAATGGTGTATCACACCTGTAACCCAGCATCCCATAGGTGAAGGCAGGACCCAAAGGCTGAGGACAGCCTAGGCTATAAAGTAAATCCTGCCTCGAGATACCAAACAATAAAGTTAGACGTGGTAGCACATGCCTGCAATCCCACTTGGGATGTGGACACAGGAACCTCAAGTTCAAGGTCATTCTTGGCTACAAAGCCTAGCTGGAGGTCAACTTGGCCTCTCTTAAGCAAAAACAATATTTCAGGAAAAAAAAATTGTAACAGTAAACAAAACTATAATCAAAGCAAATACAGGAAGGTCTCTTTCCCCACGCCTCTCCCTTTACCTCAACTGCCTCTACCTCCACTGCTCACCTGGCACTGCCACCCGGCAGGAGGCACCAGGAGCTGCTAGCTATAAGCAGAAACTTCAGCCTGCTGAGAGTGCTTGTGAAAAACACTCAGTGGCATCAAGCACCCAGCTGAGATATTAAGTAGCTTTCCTCTGAACAGTTTTGTGGCAGAGTATGGTGGCCCACACCTGTAATTTCAGATAGCAAAAGGCAGACGCAGTAGGAGTTCAAGGCAAGCCTGAGATATATAGGAATACCTTGTCTAAAAAACCTCAGGGCTGGAGGTGTGGCTCAGTGGTAGAGCCCTGCCTAGAATCTCCAGTGAGGGGCTGGGGTGTGGGTCTGGAATAGATTTCCAGAACCACAAAACAAGATGATTCCATCTTGTGTTAGAAGTTCTAGGCAGTGCACAATAATGAGATATGTGAAATTAGAGTTAATGTAGACTAGAAAGAAGTAACACTATCTGCAGTCATAGATGACATGATTGTGTTATAGAGAAAACTATTAGTAAACCACTAACCCTAAGTTTACTGTAATTGCAGGACAGGATAGATGGCCAGTATATGAAAACCAAATGTCAAATACATTTTATTCTGGCAACAAATATTGGGAATATGAAGCTACAAGTTTTTTGGGTTTTTTGTTTGTTTGTTTTTGTTTTTGAGACAGGGTTCCTCTGTGTAGCCATGGCTGTCCTAAAACTTGCTTTGTAGACGAGGCTGACCTCAAACTCAGAGATGCACCTGCCTGTCTCCCAAGTGCCAGGATTAAAGACATATGCCGCCACCACCAGGCAAAGTTACCATTTTAAAACTACATTTATGAGGCTGGAGAAGAGGATGGCTCATGGTTAAGATTACACATCACTCTTGCCAAACACCCAAGTTAGGTTCCCAAGACTCACATTAGGTGGCCCATACTAGCTGTAATTCCAGCTCCAAGGGATTTTGGAACACACTTTCCTGGCCTCTGTTGACATTAAAAACACACATACATGCATGCATGCACACATGTACACACAACACACACCAGATGGATGGATGGATGGATACATACATACATACATACGTACGTACATACATACACACACATACATACAGAAATGGAAATTATACTGGTAACAGCATGGAGCTGGAAAGCAACACTAAGGGATAAACTTAGGGAATTATGTGTATAGCCCTGTATACTATAAAACCAGGCTTGGCCCTGAGAAATCCGAGAAGACACAGGTAAAGGAAGCGTGTTGGGAAGCCAACTCCCAAACCATCCCACATATCTTGCAGGTAAAGGCTGGCAGCTCTCAGTTTAGATTCTTTTTCAAGTTTACTCACAGAGTGAACTCAGAACACAGACTGCATCTATCTCCCGTGGGGGGAGTGGTGAGTTTGCTTGCTGTCCAGCATTACAGACAAGATGCGCCTCTGGGACAAGGGTCGGGGAGTTCTCCTGTTGGGGCTCCTGGAAGTTCAGCTGCCCCAGAGACTGAGGCAGGAGGACTGCTTCAACTGTGAAGTCTGAGGTCATGCTAAGCATCACAAAGATTCCAGTTCTAAAACAATTTTTAAAAAAAATTGTAATTCCAAAAAAATAAAATTAAATTAAAAAACTAAAAAAAAACATAATTCCGGGCTGGAGAGATGACTCAGTGGTTAAGAGCACTGCCTGCTCTTCCAAAGGCCCTGAGTTCGATTCCCAGCAACCACATGGTGGCTCACAACCATCTGTAATGAGATCTGGTGCCCTCTTCTGGCCTGCAGGCATACATTCAGACAGAATACTGAGAATACTGTATACATAATAAATAAATAAAATCTTTAAAAAAATTATAATTCCTAATTCTATTGAGGTTTCTAAGGGTTGCCACATAGTCAGAGCACTCAGAATCTCCCAGGATCACGTGCCATCCCATGATAGTCAAGGATCAAGCAGAATTGGAAGTGAGTGAGCTTGAACACTCTAACCCAGAAGTACATGCTTTCTGTCATCACCATGAAAAGTGGCATGCTTGGGGACTGGAGAGATGGCTCAGAGGTTTAGAGCACTGGCTGCTCTCCAAAGATTCCGGGTTCAATTCCTGGCAACTACAAGACAACCCTCTGTGAGATCTGGTGCTCTCTTCTGACCTAAAGGCAGAACACTGTATACATAATAAATAAATCTTTAAAAAAAAAGAGAAAAAAAAAAGAGGGTCCAAATCCTTTCCAGCTCACACCAACTGTGTCCATTTGCAAATGCTGCCCAATCTCAGCATTTATTTTTTGTAGAAATCAATACAAAAGTGATAAGGCAGGCTGGGGAGGTGGCTGTCAGTGAAGCACTCACACACACATGGACCTGAGTTCAGTCCCCAACATTCACATAAAAACCCAGTGGCACACCCTTACAGTTCCCGGGCTGTGGAGGTAGAGACGGGGTATTTGCAGCTTGCTGGCCAGCTACACTAGCCTAATTGGTAAGCATCAAGGCCCAGTGAGAGATCCTAGAACAAAAGGTTCCCAAGAAACACCACCTGGGGCTGACCTCTGCACACGTACAACTCTAATATAAAATTGTTATCAACCTAAACACAAGCACAACTTCAACTGAGTGTGGTTGTTCAGACCTGCAATCCCGTTACACAAAAACTGGTGAATTGGGCTTAGTCAAAATGGAACATTTCTTAACAAAAGCATCACTAAAATAGCTTTTAAAAAAAATCACACAAAGAGGGGGGCTGGAGAGATGGCTCAGCGGTTAAGAGCATGTACTATTATTGCAGAGAACCTGCGTTCAGTTTCCAGCACCCACAAGAACTCCAGCTCCAGAGGACAGGACACCTTCGGGCTCCTTGGGCACATGCTTTCACATATACATAGTCTCCACTCAGTGAGACAAACACACACAAACACATAAATACACGCACAATAATTAAAAAATACCTCCCCCCAAGAAAAATCCTGACCGGGCTGTGGTGGTGTATGCCTTTAGTTCCAGCACTCAGGAAGCAGAGGCAGGAGGATTTCTTTGAGCTAAAGGCCAGCCTGGTCTATAGAATGAGTTCCAGGACAGTCAGGGCTACACAGAGAAAGCCTGTCTGGGGGCAGAGAAGAGAGAGACTCCCAATTTTATATCTGACGAGGTGAGTCTGGTCCCTGGAACCACACCGGGGAAGAGAGAACTGACTCCTGCAAGTTTTGTCCCACCTCCCGACACACATGCAAGCACATGTACACGCATGCATGCATGCTTGCTTGCACACACACTTACAAATACATAATAAAAATGTATTTTTCAAAGAAAAGAAATATTAACGGCCAAAAAGCAAACAGTAAGATGCTCACTGGGAAAGACGCATTATTAAACTCACGATGAGATGCACCCAGCAAAACAGTTACTCGGAAAGACAACAGCACCAATGGTTGGCAAATGTGCAGAGCACTGCAGCTCTTAGGTTTCTAGGGGACTGTCAATGCTACAGCTCCTTGGGAAGACAATTTGGCAGTTATGAAGTTACACACACGCATACCCTATGACCCCAAAATCCCACTCCCTGCAATATACCCAGGAGAAGTGAAAACCCGGGCACGGATGAACTCTAAGGGAGTTCGCAGCACGGTCTAGTGTGTCTAGTGTCTAGGAGAGATTACATGGAGAAACAAGCTGTGGTCTGATCACACAATGGACTACCGTGTGGCTGGCAGGAGGAGTACACTACTCACACATGCGGCATGGATTAAAAGAAAAATCACTCTTGTGAGAGCAGTTGCCCTCAGGATAAAGCAAATCCAGGGGCTAAAAGGGCTGCTGACAGCCGAACCCACTGGCAGTCCAGCCTGAGAACAGGCCAGCCTCAGTCCCCAGGAGCTTCCCAGTTATCTGTGGCTAAAATCCTCCAGGGAGCAGTGAGTTCAGCCCAGAGACTGTGCACCACAAGGCAAACAATCCGTTTCCCATACAAGTCTAGACAGCAGAGTTCAGGCCGATCAGGCTCCTGGCAGCAGCTCTGCAAAAAGCCTGACTGAAGATCACATTTGAGAAAAAAGTCTGAGGTTACAGTTAAACAAGGCAAAATTAAATGTGTGTGTGCATGGGCTTGTGGAAGCCAGAGGTTAACACTGGGTGTCTCTCCTGACTGCCCTCCACATATTCTCTGAGACAGGGTTTCTCCCTGACCCTGGAGCTCACCGACTGGCTAGATGGCTGGTTGGCTGTCACTCAGCTTTTTACCTGGATGCTGGAGCTCAAACTCAGGTTCTCATCCTTGTGCAGCAAGCACTTTACTGACTGAGCCCTCTCCTGCCCTGCTCCCCACCCTCACCCCTGCCTTTATTAAAAAAAATAAATAAATCTAAATCGGGCATGGTGATGCATGCCTTTAATCTCAGTACTCGAGAGACAGAAGCAGAAGCCAGCCTGGTCTACTGGTCTACACAGTAAGTTCCATGACAGCCAAGGCTACACAGAAAAACCCTGTCTCAAAAAAAAAAAGAAAAAAAAGAAAAAGAAAAAAAATAAAAAGGAGAACTAACCATAGTGCACTTGATCTGATTCTGTGTAGACAACATTTATTCATCAGGAATAAGATAAATGTGGATTACTGACTTAACCAGAGGGATGGGGAATGTGAGGAATGGCAGCACAGCCTTAGACACAGAGCAGTTGGGTTGTTTCTTTTTCAGGAAGGATCTCTACATCACTGAGGCTGGCTCTGAACTCTGCTTCTGCCTCGGTCCCCTGAATGCCAGTATTACAGGCTCTAGAAAAAATAGCCTTTCTTTGCCTGGATCCCATGTATGTTACTGTGATAAAATAAATTATGGAAATATCCCATGTGGAGTGCAGTTAAGAGCACTGGCTGGTCTTACAGAGGCCCCAGCTTCAATTTCCAGCACCCACATGGTGACTCAGTCATCCATCCACAGCGGCAGTACCAGGGGATCCAACAGGCACACATGGTACACATACACGTAGGCAAAACATTCACACACATAAAAGAAATACATCTAAAATATATTTACAAATATTAACCTCATGTCCAGGTAGTACAAGCCCCCTCATCCATGCCCCTATCCCTTCCAGGCAGACCAAAGAGAAGCCTTTCTGATAGCCGGCAAAAGGCCCCTCGTCTGTTCCATTGCTCCTTCCTCAGACCCACACCTCTCAGACAGGCCAAGCCCAGAAAGGTGTCACGAGCCGTGTGCATAAGGAGAATGTGAGCAGCCTCCTTCCATCCCAGAGCAGAGTGTTTCCTCTGCCTGAGACGGGTGTGAGGGAGTGCCGGGGCAGTGGGGGTGGGGTCGGGCTGTTACCTACCACAGGAGTCACAGATGAAGCAGTCAGTGTGATACAGGCTCCCCATTGCCTGGCACGCCTGCCTCGCTCCGTAGATGCCAAGCCCGCACTTGATACAAATGCCTGTGAGGAAGGAGCAGGAGAGCAGAAGCTAGTACTCTGTCCTGGAGTTGGGGGGCCAGCCAGGCCCCATCGACAGTACCACCAAATCCCCAGTCTAACATTCAGCCACAAGGACCCTGCTGGAAGCTGAATGTGTCTGTGCTTTAAGCACCTGGCTGGTGGGCAGAGGCCACTAGAGGCAGGTCTGGAAGGTTGTAGCTCAACTCTGCTCTTGTGCAATGTTCTGATTCCCAATTCCGCAGAGATGGGAGGTGCTGCCCCCATGCTCCCGCCATGATGGGCACCAGCCTCCTTTAAGTGGCTTCAGTCAGGGAGCTGGTCCCCGTGACGAGAAAGGCAGTGAATACGGGCAGCACGTAGGGGCAGCTACTGCTGCCTGAGCATTCAAAGAGCTTCACAGAGCACCGGTAGAGGCAGAGCCCTGAGGAAGTCAGCCATCAGCTTTGACCATGAGCACCAGACCTAGAAAGGGCACTCCACACCCCTCCACCTCAGACTGAGTAAGACAACCTTCCTACTGCCTCGGAATCAAAGCCCACTCTTCAAAATAAATATGTACCTTCTGACCCCACAAAGGTACACTCAAGGGCATCATTGTCCTGGACAGGTACCCTTCCTCGGCTGAACAAAGTTCGAATATTCTCTATGCACAAAGCCTGCTGCCTGTTAGCACACTACTTCTCTTTTTTTTCCTTTTCTTTTCTTTTCTTTTTTTGGAGGGGGAAGGTGTTTCAAGACAGGGCTTCTCTATGTCGTCCTGGCTGTCCTGGAACTCACTCTGTAAACCAGGCTGGCCTCGAACTCAGAGATTCACCTGCCTTTGTCACCCGAGTGCTGGGATTAAAGGCATGCATACTTGTTGAGAAAATGTAGTGCAGAGAAATCTTCAGCCCCAAGGGCCATGTGCTTGCTCCAGAGGAGAGCCACACGGCAGAAGTCACAGGCTGTCAGATGAGTGGGGTTCATGTCGGATGATGCACGCTTATGACCCTGCACTCAGGAGACCAAGGCAAAAGAATCGATAGCTCAGAGCTCCAGGCCAAGGTTAGCCAGGGGTCTATATGGAGATCCTGCCTCACACAACAACAAAAAACCATAACAATAATGATGACAATGATAATGTCAAACGGAAACAAATATGAGGGAGAAAAGTAAGGCTCATTAAGAACTGATGGAGGGGGCCTGGAGGGATGGCTCAGCAGCTGAGAGCACCCACTGTTTGTTCTTTCAGAGGACCCAGGTTCAATTTCCAGAATCGGGGGCTGGAGAGATGGCTCAGAGGTTAAGAGCATTGCCTGCTCTTAAAAAGGTCCTGAGTTCAATTCCCAGCAACCACGTGGTGGCTCACAACCATCTGTAATGGGGTCTGGTGCCCTCTTCTGGCCTGCAGGCATACACACAGACAGAATATTGTATACATAACAAATAAATAAATAAATAATTAAAAAAAATTTCCAGAATCCATACAGAAGCTTACAACTATCCATAACTCCAGTTCCAGGGGATTTGACACCTACACACGGTCATACATACAGACAAAACAGTAAGGAACATAAAATAAAAATAAGTAAGTCATTAAACGAAGAACAGAGCCGGGCAGTGGTGGTGCATGCCTTTAATTCTAGTACTTGGGAGGCAGAGGCAAGTGGATCGGATCTCTGTGGGTTCAAGGCCAGCCTAGTCTACAAGAGCTAGTTCCAGGACAGGCTTAAAGCTACAGTGAAACCCTGTCTTGAAAAACCAAAGAAATAAAGGAATAAAGAATAAAATAAAAAAGGACAGATCAGGGTTGGGGATTTAGCTCAATGGGAGAGCGCTTGCATGGCAAGTGCAAGGACCTGAGTTCAGTCCTCAGCCCACCCCCACCCCCAAATAGATCAAAGTGGAAACAGATGCAGAAACCCACAGTCAAACATTAGACACAGCTTAGGGAATCCTGAGGAAGAGGAGGGAGAAGGACTGTAGGAGTCAGAGGGGTCAAGGGCGCCAGAAGAAAACACACAGAGTCAACCAAGCTGGGCTCATGTGGCCTCACAGAGACTGAACCGCCCTCCAGAGAACTTGCAGGGCACTGGCCTAGGCCGTCTGCACTTGTGCTGCAGTTGTGTGGCTTGGTCTTCTTGTGGGGCTCCTGACAGCGGGAGCAGAGGCTGTCGCTGACCCTCACTGCTTTGGGGCCCTTTTCCTAATGGGTCGCCTGGTCCAGCCTTAATAGGACAGGAGGTGCCTAGACTTCCCGCAACTTGACATGCCATGGTGGGCTGATGTCCATGGGAGGCTCCCTTTGCTGAAGAGAAACAGAGAAGTGGAGGAGTAGACAGGGAATGGGAACGGGGAGTGAGGGGAGGGGCTGGGTGGAGAGGAGGGAAGGGAAACTGCAGTTGGGATGTTAAAAACAAATAAATATTTTTAAAAAAAAGAAGAAGAAGAGCTCAAGGGACTGGAGAGGTGGCTCAGCAGTCAAGAGCATTGGCTGTTCTTGCATCACTGCACCCACTTGGTTCATGACCATCCACAACTCCGGTTTCAGGGGATCCGGTGCCCTCTTTCACTCTCTGAGGGCACCAGGCATGCAAGTGGTGCACATATATACATACGGACAGGCAGGCAAAACATTCACAAACATAAAACAAATCAGTCAAAAACGAAAAGACTAAATCAGCACTGGAGAGATGGCTCAGTGGTTAAAAGTACTTTCCAGCACCCACATGGTGGCTCAGCCCCCTGTAACTCCAGTTCCAGGGGATCTAACACCCTCTTCTGGCTTCTGCAGTCACTGCACATACATATAAAAAGTAAAAATAAGTAAAAATTTTACAAAGAATCTATTTTTAAAAATCTAGGGTGGCTGAGTATGGTGGCACATGCCCATAACCCCAACACTTGAAAGACAGGCCAGCTACACAGAGAGTTGGAGGCCAGCATAGGCTATGTAAGACCTCATCTCCAACAAAACAAAAACAAACAAAGGACTAAATCTAGAGGGCCAGGTATATTGACACATGCCATCCATTTGTGCACTAGAGAGGCTGAAGTAGTACATCTCAAGTGCAGGGTCAATCTGGGCTCCATGGAAAGATCTGGTCTATAAATACAAAAGTCTAAAAGCTAGAGCTTCAACTTAGTGGCTCACACCTGACACGTGTGAACCAGCCCCTCATGCGCACACATCAGAGGTGGTGATTTTTACACAGGATGGCGAAGGACAGTCCCTCTACAGTCTTTACACCATGAACTGAACGAACAGTGCTCTTTCTTTTTTTTTAAGATTTTTTTTTATTATGTATACAGGGTTCTTCCTGTATGTATTCCTGCAGTACAGAAGAGGACACCAGATCTTATTACAGATGGTTGTGAGCCAACATGTGCTTACTGGGAATTGAACTCAGAACATCTGAAGAGCAGCCAGTGCTCTTTACCTCTGAGCCATCTCCCAGTCCCCCACCACCACCCGGACAGAGCTTTCTATGCAGGGATGCAGGAACACAGGTTGGAACTGGGACCACCTCAGGAGGTCAGATGGGGGAAAAAACAGGACTGACCAGCAGTGTTAGAAGGATGCCTGGCTCCAAGTCTTGTGCACTTTTAGTCCAGCCTTCCCGGAGATCCAAAAGGGTGTTCCCTTCAGATACTCAGCATCTCTGTGTGGTTTGCATGAGATAGTCCTCACAGACTCATGTTTGAATACTTGGTCCCTATTGGTGGAACTGTTTGGGAAGCAGTAAGAGGTGTGGCATTGTTGGAGAAGGTATGGCCGGGCCTTTAATCCCAGCACTCTGGAGGCAGAGGCAGGCAAGTTCCTGGGTAGCCAGGGCTGGTAAAAGACCCTGCCTCAAAAAACAAAAGATGGGAGCTCTTAGGTATCCCTGGACCGTGCCTTTGGACCACCACCATGGACTCAGGTTGTCAGGCTTAGCAGAACATGTCTTAGCACTGACTTATCTCATCTGGTCTTCTTTATGTTGCCACTAGCTTGGGCTCAAACTCTCTCAACCTGTGTCCTAAATAGCAGGTATAATGGCTATGCGCTACCACACCTGGCTTGTTCCCTAATTTTCCTTCAGTCCTGATTCACCATGTAACTGGCATGCTATCCAGGCCCCAACAACCCACCCTGACACACTGCCGGACTTCTCTTCCTTCCGTCTTCTCACTCCTCCACCAGCCATGAGAATCAGACCTCACCATTTACTTGACTGAATTACAGCAGTCAACACTGGAAGGTGGGGGTGGGGAGGCCGAGGCTGGCAGATCCTTGTGATTTTGAGGCCAGCCTGGTTTACACTGTAAGTTCCAGACCAGCCAAGGCTACAATAACAAAACGCTGTCTCAAAAACTAAAAACAAGGACCTGGAGAAGATGGCCCAGTGGTTAAGAACACTGGCTGACTGGCTGCTCACTCTTGAAGAAGACAGCTGGGACTCAATTCCCAGGACTCACGGGGATGCTCACAATCATTCGTGCCAGTGCCAGATATCTGACACTTCTTCTGGCCTCTGTGGGTACCAGGAACACACGTGGTGCATATGCATACATGTAGGCAAAATATTTATACATATAAAATTAACAAATCTTTAAAAAATTTAAAAAAAAAACCAAAAAAGTAAAAGAGAGACGAAAAGGTATACAGAAAGGGAAGGCCCTATGGTGCATTAAGTTTGGTGTATATTGTATGTACCCAGATTGCTTTAATAAAAACATACTTTAGAATGACCAATTGTGGCAGTATATCACTACAATCTCAGTGATCAGAAAGCTCAGCAAAGTTCTAGGCCAGCCTGAATTAAAGAACAAGATTCTGCCTCAGGAAAAAAAAAGTGATCCCAGGGCACAGGACACCTCAGAAATGAGGGAGAAGGAGGGAATGAGCAAATCTGGGATGGGAGGAAGGCAAGATGAAAGGACAGAGGGGCTCTATGGCCATATGGGTTTGAAAGTTAATTTATGCTTTTTAAGAAATATTTACCTGTACACATGTACACACACGTATATGTGCATGCTTTGGTACACGGGTGGTCAGAGGACAGCATGCAGGAGTCAATTCTCTCCTTCCACCATGTATGTGGGTTCCAGGCATCAAACTTGGGAAGCTAGGCTTGGGAGCACGTGGTATCTTTAGCCACTGAGCCATCTCACCAGCCCCGTCCCTGTGTGCATGTGTGTGACCCTTCTACAGACTTACAACTGAAAGAAAGGGGCCAACGGAAAGAGAGAGGCTGAGGGTGGAAGAGGCTACAGAGAAGCCTGTTACCCTCTCAGATGGCAGGAGAATGAGGCTGGCCGTGGACAGAAAGCATGGAGGGAGGAACAGGAACCTCAGTGCTCGGAGTGAGGTAGGAAGCGGGATGGGCGGCAGGAGACCAGAAGGCTGCTGGGAGAATAGAAAAGCAAATTGACTGAGGCTAAGGGGAACAAGAGTCCTGAAAACCACTGAGGTTAAAGAACAAAAATTACTCCAGGGCCAGAGAAATGGCTCAGAGGGTATGAAGCTAAGGCTTGAACCTGGGTTCAAGTCTCAAAACCTACAGGGTAGAGGGAAAGAACCCACAAGTTGGTCTCTGACCTCTATACACACCTCAGCATTCATGCAACCTCCCCACCCCTCGCACGTGATTGTCAAAATAGTAAAAAATAATAATAATCCCGGTCCCAGGGGCTTTCTCCAAACCCCTCACAGTCAGACAGAATAACAGTGTGGGGGAGTGCCAGTCTAGCAACTCAGAGTAGGGGTCCTGTAGGGAATCAAACAGGAATCAGAACTAAAGGATGCTAAGAGAAGCAGACAGGGTGTGGCCCTCGGAGCCTCACAACAGAGGGCAGTTCTAGGGGTCTGAGGCAGTCAGCCTCCTAATGGCAGCCGAGGGGGAGAAGGCAAAGTTCCAGAGACAGGAATAAGGGCACAGAGTACCTAGAGGTCAGCAGAAGCAGCCCTAATGAGATGGCGCAGCCTGGGAACACACTGTGGACGAGGTTCATAGAGGCCAGACTTCCTTCTGTAAGGGGTAGTTATTCAGGTTGAAAGACTTGAAATTTTGTTTTTTCAAGAAAGGGTTTCTCTGTGTGACCCTGGCTGTCCTAGAACTAGCTCTTGCAGACCAGACTGGCTTTGAACTCACAGAGATCCGCCTGCCTCTAACTCCCCAGTGAGGGATTAAAGGTGTGAGCTAGCACCGCCAACAAGATTTGAATTTCTTTTTAAATTGCAAGCTGGATATAGCTGGATAGGGTGGCGAACGTCTATAGTC